CCAGAAGTCCAGAAATGTTGTGTTTTCAGGCACCGTGCACTTTGCAAGACAGGTTCATCTCAGTGGTCAGTTTTTGAAACAGACGCCACAATGTATTGAATAAATACAAATACTGTGAACAAACCCTTTTTTTCCTCTTTTGTTACACATAGGTCTACATCAAGATAGTAGATGTTACATGTGTGTCTTGTGTTTCCCCCTGCTTAGTGTTTTTGGTTCAGTCCTGTGTTCCAGTTTTCCCGCTCCTCGTTTGTGTTCAGTTTATTCACCTGTGTTTAGTTAATTATCTTCATCCATGTCACCTGTCTCCTATTCATTATTGTCATCAGTCTCTGTATTTAGTTTCCCTCAGTTCATTCAGTCTTGGTCCGTTCTCGTTAATCCATAACTTGTGTTGTGGTTCCTGAGTTTTGTTAATTAAATCCTGTTTTCCTGATCATCCTCGTCTTCTCATCCTTCCTACCACCACGTATCGTGACAGAAGAACGGACCCAAAAGATGGACTTGGCTGGCCAGATGACTACCTCATCTGGATCCTGATTGAGAGAGGTCTCCGCATCACCATCACCCCAGTGATGGCTCCAGCCATCTTCGCCACGCCATCCATCCTCATCCATGATCCTGCGCCAGAGCCCGCTGATCCAGCCAGAGACCGTCCGTCCAGCCAGAGACCGTCCGTTCTAAGCCCTCTTCACCGCTGGTTCCGTCCAGTACAAAACCCTCTTCACCCGTGGTGTACGTCAGGCACGCGGAGACTATGCATTTCACGCCTGCCGAGCCAGAGCTTCACGTCACGCCTGCCGAGCCTTCTCAGCTGGTCCCGTCCAGCCCTCCCAAGCCTGTCCTTGAGCACGTCCCGGAACCTGTCACTCTCCCCAAGAAAATGGGGGGGGGGTTATAGGACTCCGCCCTGGCCACCCGAAGGGGCGTCTCCGCCCTGGCCACCCGAAGGGGCGTCTCCGCCCTGGCCACCCGAAGGGGCGTCTCTGCCCTGGCCACCTGCACAACCGCCCTGGAGGCTTCCTGTTCCGGGAAAGCCACGCCCTCGTCAGCCTCTAGGGCGCCCACCCTCCCGCCCCTATTTGATGTTTATACGGCGTGGGGACACGCCTTTTTGGGAGGGGGTGTAATGTTACATGTGTTTCCCCCTGCTTAGTGTTTTTGGTTCAGTCCTGTGTTCCAGTTTTCCCGCTCTTCGTTTGTTCAGTTTATTCACCTGTGTTTAGTTAATTATCTTCATCCATAGTCACCTGTCTCCTATTCATTATTGTCATCAGTCTCTGTATTTAGTTTCCCTCAGTTCATTCAGTCTTGGTCCGTTCTCGTTAATGTATAGCGTGTGTTGTGGTTCCTGAGTTTTGTTAATTAAATCCTGTTTTCCTGATCATCCTCGTCTTCTCATCCTTCCTACCACCACGTATCGTGACAGTAGATCAAATTGTCTGGCAATGAATAGAGTAGCCTTGGCTATTTCAGAATCACTGTATCATGATACCATCGATATGATGGACAAAATTGTATTGTAGTTGCGAGTACACCAGAGTCCTATGCAGTTATTCTTGCCTCACTAAATGCCGCAAAGTGTCCTCCTTTTTGGTGTTCTGAAAATGGCCACCCTACCTCTCTTCCACCTAGACTGCAGTCACACCTTTTCCATTAAGGGACAAAACTTGTCCCCTTTAATCGATTTTTTCCAGTTCATGTTTTACCTTCATAAATACAATAATGCCCTAAAATAAAACTGTGAAATAAATATGCAATGATGGTAAAAACGAAGTGATACTCTTAAATATTAAATTAAAATCGCTAGTAGGTGTCGGTAAGTCACTGTCTTTTATGAGCAAGTCATTCATTCAGTTACAAAGCAAGTGGCTATATTTATGACCGGGTCATTGAATCTCACGATTCGTTCAAAGCCACAGATTCGTTCACGAATGACCGCTGTGTGCTGCAGTTCTGCTGTGGCTTTCGTTGCAAAATAGAGCAATAAGCCCACTGACAATACTGTTTTAAATGTAGTACATCTCTTAATGTTACCCTTTTGTTTGTTGAATTGTTATATAAAATCAAATGTCACATTTGAAAGGGTGTGGATATTCGGGAAACATTGCATTCTTGCTCGTATAATATGATCTACATTAAAGGGTTAGTTCACCCAAAAATATTCTCACCCTCATGTTGTTCCAACCCCGTAAGACGTTCGTTCATCTTAGAACACAAATTAAGATATTTTTGATTAAATCTGAGAGCTGTCTCACTCCTCCATAGGCTTCTATTGTAATTGAATGGAAATGCAGCAGAGCCGGTCCGAGCCTTTTGGGGGCCCTAAGCAGAATTTGATTTGGGGGCCCCTCCCACTACGCGAAGTCACCTGTGCTTGACGATTATTGACACAAATGTCACGCAATAATGATACATTATAAATGAATACAGTGAGGTTATGTATTAATACAAAATAAATACTTAATAAAAAATAGATGCCTACTTAAATAAAAAAGTTTTAACTTTTACTTTACTCTTTTACTAACTCTTTGAAACTTCTTAAAACAAACTGTCTCAAAACATATAAAATAAATTTTTGCTAAAATAATGACAAAACTGAGAAATCAGAAACATAATAAGAGCAAGGGTTCAACAATGACATATTGTTGAAAACTGTAAAAATATTATTATTTCTCAACTGTCTCAATACAGTGTAACTGTCCTCAAAATCTTTTTTATTATTATTATTGTAACAGACTTGGTTGGATTGTACAGAATCCAACAAAGTCTGTTACTATAATACCTGTAATGATGTACTGGCGCTCGTTGTATGTGTGTATGCAATGTATTTTTCCCCTCGGGGCTTGCCGTAGATAGGAATGGGTCGTGCGCACTTGGTACTGGAGTGTCGCGGGTTTTTGGAGTTAGTGATCTGATGTGTGGTATAATAAAGTGGAGAAGAGTTTAAACTGCTATGTTTATTATTTATTCAAACTGTTACCCTTACACCTAGAAGGTTAAGTTCCCCTGCGGCTATTTTCTCCAACTTAAACCGATACCGTGACTATGCGCAGTTGCGCACGAATTGTCTATGGACGCGCGAGGTGTAACTCGCATCACTTAAACGCTGGCAGACACAGCAGCAGTTGTAGGCAGGTATATTGATCATGAAATCTGAATTTTCTTGTCTTGAATTATTCATTCATTCATATTCATTCATTGTCACTTGATAAAGTAATCTAAAAAAACTTTTTTTTTTTTTAACTCGATTGAGGGGCCTTAGTTCGCTTATGCCTCGGGCCGGCCCTGAAATTAAGTGTAATGTCAGGATTATGCTTAGTTTAGTTGCCTTTTTGTTCCCATGTGTTTGGCTCTTGTGTTTCTAGGTCAATTTAGTCTTTATTGATCCCTACTTAGTTCCCTTAGTTATTAATTACATTCACCTGTCGGGCATTTGTTCCCTTATTATTCTCTGTGTATTTGTTGTGTATTGTTCCGTTGTTAATGTGGTTGTTACGTTATTCCTAGGGATGAGCGAGTACAGCATTATCTGTATCTGTTAACCATATGAATGATCTGTATCTGTACTCGGACTGGGCGGGGCCTAAACCGGAAGTGGGCGGGATTTAACCCCGGAAGTGGGTTGGGTTGTCTTGAAATGGGCGGGTATGTTATTTTAAGCATGCAATTGATATGGGTTGATCAGAAATTGTTATATTTATTGCTGATTAGAAAACTATATTTACATGACAGCATCAGCATTGAGCTTCAGATCAATGGTTTTTTTTTTCACGATAACAAACGAACTATATACAGAACAAGTTTTGCAACAATGAATACAACACATGTGGTTGCAATTATTAAGTAAAATGTAATGAACAAGAGTTTTCATACTCAACATAACTTTCTTTTTTTTACTTTTAATTTTTTTTATAAGTGTGATTTTTTATTTGTATTTTTTTTTTTATTTCCACACCAGGTATGTATGTGTGTGTGTGTGTGAGTGAGTAAGAGAGAGTAAGAGGGGGGGGGGAGGTGACTGTGTTCTAAGGATCAAATAGTCCAACGCTGTTTTTCAGATCTGCATTGACTTTAATGAAGACCAGTTGTTCCACATGGTTAGGGTCTAAGTTTGAACGCTGTGGACTGACCACATTTCCAGCTGTGCTAAAAACACGCTCAGACTGGACACTTGTAGGTGGACAACTGAGATGCTGCAGTGCAAAGCGTGTAAGATTGGGCCAGCACTGAAGCTTGCCTGACCAGTATTTCACTGGGTCATCGGTAAGGCTGATGTCCCCATCTGCCAGGTAGGCCTCCACATCACTTGATGGTAAATGTGTCCTCATTGGAATAGCCGATTTATTTTTCTGCAGGAAAGACAAGACTGAAGTGCTGCTGGTGGCAGGTGTCTCTTCTGTGTTTCTTGCAGGTGTAGCCACAGGGTCACAGAGCTCCATCCTGAGGAGTAATGTCCTCTTCAGTGTCTCCACATCAACATTGTTTGGAAAACAGCTGTCCTTATATCTGGGGTCAAGGAGAGTGGCAAGCAGAAATGTGGAGTTTGCAAAAATTGGTTCGAAATGCCCTTTTTAGTTCTTTGCTCAGATTGGCTGCCAGTTTCCTTGCTGCTGTGCCTAACCTTTCCCTGGACTCAGCCGCAACATCTTGGCCCAGCCCCACTGTGGCATCCTGATCATCATCACCAGCCATGAACTGATCAGATTCATCCTCAGATTCCTCACCAGCATGCAGTGACCTGATGATGGAGCACAGGCCATGCAGGAGGGGGATGACCTCAGAGATGGAGGCGCTGTGTTTTGAGAGCGCCCGTGTGACCTCCTCAAAAGGAATAAGAACAGTGAGCATGTCTGATGCTAACCCCCACTCATTTGGATAGATGATTGTTGGAGCTTTACCCATGTTAAACTCTTGTGTCATAATCTGCACAGCCCTGCGCTGCTCCACCAGCCGCTGGAGCATGTAGAACGTATAGTTCCACCTTGTTTTTACATCTGTTATGAGTGTGTGCTGGGGAGGTTCAACTGTGTTTGCAGCTCATGTAGTCTGTTGCTGGCTTTGCTTGAGCGATGAACATGGCCAGATATGCTCCTGGCTTTGGAGAGAAGGGATGTCACAACCCTGTTCTCCAGTGCGTTGATCACCACCAAGTGAAGCGTATGGGACACGCAACGGATGTGCCCATATTCAGTCAAAGCTTTCACCATGTTCGCTGCATTATCTGAAACAACAAACCGTATTGTGACAGACTGACCAACAGACTCTTCCCACTCTCTCATCTTTTCCTTAAGGCAGCACAGAATGTTTTTTGATGTGTGCTCAATAGGAGCGTTTCCATTACAGATTTGCGCAAAACTTTTGCGATTTTTTTTCTAAATGTCGATAAAAAACTATTGCGAAATGACGGCGTTTCCATTAACCGATGTTATGCGAATAAAACGTCTTTTTTTCCTCTCGTGATAAGTCATTTCGAAAATCATGGTAACGGATGTTGGTAGGTTTATAGCCTATATCACAGCCACCGCACTAGACATTATTATTATTATTAATGGAGGGAGACGTGGTGTGTTATCCAAGCATTAATGGCAGGGAAAGACACGGAGTTCCTGGGTGTTTCGCCCTCATTTCTGCTCCGAGGTCTTGATTGTGGCATTTCTTTGAGGTTTAGAGTCCAGTAGGCTATTTCTGTAATTATTGTTTCTTTTTCTTGCATTTAAAGGGGTCATATAATGGTACATGCACTTTTACAAGTTGATTGTACTGAAATGTGTGTTGGCAGTGTCTGTACACAACCATCATATAATGATAAAAATCCATCCAGTGGTTTTGTTTTAATCTCCTTATATGTTTTCCCCTGCCTCAAATCGAGCCGTTCGACCGTGTGACGTCACAAGCTCGCACGCCCCTCCCGCGATTGTTGATTGACAGAAGGGTTTCAACACAGACCCGCCCTCGCTCGTGAGCGAGCTGTCAGTCTGCGCGGACCGGCGCGGTCATTGTTGATATGCTGGAGCACTGTCTATGAGCAGAATGGCGTCTAAGCGATTGTGGTGTTCTGTTCTTGGGTGTAATCACGAACACAGCAGTCATTTTAATGTTCCTAAATCCGAACCGCTGAAGACGCAGTGGCTGTGTTTGTTTTCGAAGGGAATATTCCCCACGAGCAACGTCAATGCTTTCATGTTTGCGCGAATCATTTCTCACCAGACTGCTTTATAAACAAGCCGGATCAGTATAAAGCTGGATTTGCTAAGAAGCTTTGCTAAAAAGGATCGGTACCAGATATTCGTGTTCCTGCTGAATCTCCAGAAGAACGGAAGTGAGTGAAACGTTTTATTAAACTTTATATTAATATATTAATCTTTGCAAATCGCTAGAGGCACGCTTCAAAATGAGTGCGTCTAAGGTTTACACTCAGGGTACATTACGGCATGCTTTCTATGTATGACGTTCTCAATATATTTCATAATTCCACGTTTATACTGAACAACGCGTTATGGTTATTGAGTTACAAACGTGTACGCACAGAACAGAGAGGCGGGGTGAGCAAAGCTCATTATCATTTAAAGTCATATGCACTGAAACGGCGTGCTGAAAACAGAGCTGTTTTTGACCAGGTAAAATAAGTGTTTTCTTACAATACTAATGAGAATTTTTAATTAAAGTATATTGCAAACTTTTAATTTAGACCCTAAAGAATCATATTAGCTTGTACAAAAATGGCATTATATGACCCCTTTAATAAAGAACTCTGTCTCGTATTATGTCCAAACGGTCAGTACTTTGTGTCCATTCGTTTTCCCCTATTTAACCCGTAATTGCAAAACGAAAAATGAACGGTTGTTGTATTTTTAAAACGCAAAGTTGAACACCAACATTTTTATTTGAACTGTACAGCAAATGCTGAGCAAAAAAAATAAAAAAAAAATATCGACGAATTTTCAGATATTTGTTTATGACTTTTTGCCCCTTTATTAAACATTTAAAATATTCACAAATTAATATGGAACAAAATGTAGATTTTACTGGTTTTCTAAGGCCAAATTAGAACCTGTAAATTATATTTTTCCTGCAGTGCTGAATGAGAAGTGCCATATAACCACAGCCTACAGAAAAGGGATTTATAGGTGAGTTATAGGCTATAATAAACGTGTCTGAAAAAATAACGAGGCATTTTAATTGTTTATTAATAAACTATTGTTTTCTAAATCAATGTCGGCTAAAAACATATCTCCGGATGCACCTTTAGAGAGAAATGCACCTTTCATACGGATTACATAATCAGAAGGTATTAGCTTTCGATTCGAATTTTTTCGTTTTAAAGTGGACATTTCAAGCTTTAGCCTACATAGGCTATATTTTTTTTAGTTATTGCGCTTCAGTTCACGGAGACCATGAAAGCGCGCCTGATTGTTTTATTTTATTTTACAAAAGCACAACGTTTTCTTGTTATTGTGAGTTTACGGAAATAAAAGTAGTTGCAAAAAATTTATTATTATTTTCTGTATGACCAGAAATGATAGAGTATTTTAAGTTGTTTCCACTGTTGATAGGAAAATGCAAGTGTTCGCGCCTGCGCCTCCCTGCCATCCAGTGCACGCTCCACACTCCGTGCACAAACACTTGGATATGCGTCAAAATCTTGTGTTTATTTGTGATAATCTTAGCCCTGTATTATTATTGTCCAACCTGTATTATGAATGAGTAGTAACGAATTGCTTTGTTCCTTTTTTGGATAAAAGCGTCTTCTACATATGTAGCCTAATAAATGTTATAATAATGATAATAATTATTATTATTATTTGCGGACACGGACCCCAAACACACCGCGTCTTCTAAGTCAGCTGACTGTAAATGCGCAAAACCTGTTTCCATTGCAGTTTTGCGAAATATTCCTTTTTCAAATTGCCTGAAAAACCTCCTCATGCGAGCGTAAAAACTTTTTTGCGATAAACGGGAGTTTTTGCGAAATGGACGTGTTTCCATTGTGCGTATTTTCAATTCGCAATTTCAATTTGCGCAATTTGAAGGGTAAGGGAAACGCGGCTAATGTCCAGCACACCAACATTTAGCAGCCCTGCTTTCCTCTGTCCTGAAGCTTCCCCTACACATTCACACCAGTGCCCAGTAAGACAGAGATATGCATGTGCGTTGTGATTGCTGGTCCAGAGATCTGTAGTGAGGTTGATGACACCTCCTTCAGCTGCCGTAAGTGACTGGACCAACTCCCCTCTCATTGCCTCATACAGCTCAGGCACTACAGTTCGACTGAAATAGTGCCTCGATGGGATCTTATACTTGGGCTCTAAAAAGCCAAAGTGTCTTGAAGCCTCTCCTCTCCACCACAGAGAAAGGTTCGAGATCAGTGCAGATCATTTTACCAATCATCTCTGTAATTTGTTTTGACCGGGGATGGTTTGCTGAGAATGGCTGCTTTACTGCAAATGCAGTGAGTATTGTTGAAGAGGAAGATGAATGTGATCCCTTAGCAGCACCCAGCTGAACACCAGTGACCCGAGAAGAAAGAGGAGAGGAGGAGGAGGGGCCTGATACAGTGGGTTTTCTCATGTGATGAACATACACTTTTAGAAGAAAAGGTTCTATCAGGCGCTACGTATTTGGAACCCCTAAAAGGTTCTATATAGAACCCTTTTTAAGGGTTCAATCGAAAGAACCCTTTAGGATTCTTTGTAACCAGGAAAAAGGTTCTATATGGAACCTTTTAGGGGTTCATTCATTATCATTTGTTTTTTCTTTTTCGGATTAAATATTTCATATTATTGGCAAACATCAAGACCCTAAAATGTAATTCACATAAAAAAGTCACCCATGAATACTGAAAAAAAAAATCACACCCAAAGTGCATAGAACTAGTCATTTATTTATATTAACAAAAATAATTAATATTACTGAAAGAATGCTACTGTAATTTCAAGTATTCAAGCCTTTAAATGTACAAATCAACATTAAACCATCAACCATTTAAAAATATCTCATAAATATTGAAAATAGAGTTTCACCTACGTCTACATATTACAAAATAAGTCCATAAAATGTACACAATTACATTAATCACTAATAAATAATGCAAATATACAATTAATCTAAATTCCCATCAGTGTTCGAACATCAAGTCCCTCAAAACTACAAATCCATATTAATATAACTCACAATGGAAATATACAGACATAGAAGTACTTAAAATCTACAAATTCATATTAATATCACTCATAAAGAATGTGAATACATAGATTAAATTCTGAAACCAGATTTAAATTCAGATCAGCATTTCAGAATAACATCAATCGCCTCATATTTACAAATTTACATTAGCACTATTCATGACATATCAAAGTATTATGATAATTGATTATACATTTTGAGCACTGTGACAGACAGTTTTTTTTTTTTTTGGCTGCTGGAGAGTTTAAACAGGTAGTGCTCAACAAAATTCATCGTGTGAGTGATGTGCTTGGGGTATTCCACACTGAATACGAAATAAGTACCAAAGAGGCACTCCATTGCCTCCATCACATCCATTTCTGTGCTCACAATGTTGACACCCTCCATATTGATGCTGGCTCTTTTTGCATGGAGGGGGTTTGAAGCTTAATTTTTTTGGCTTTACTGATTCCTGCAAGTTGGAAAAACATATAAATTATTTGTGAAATAGCTCCTCTTACAGCCCTCTATATTACATATTATTTTGAAGTCTCGCTGGTGTTGGTGAAGTAGTGGCAAATGTTTAACTTGTGTATTGTACACTTAATGACATTACAGAATGGGCATTTGCAGAACTCCATTAAATACCTCTGAAGACTTCTTTGGAATCAATCAGGTTGATGGTTTGGATCCATTTGCAGACATCATCTGTTGTCCATTTGTCTACCATAATGTAATCTTGAAAAGGAAAACCGAAAGTTACTATTAATTTCACATCATGTACATGTCACTACTTTATTAACCTTAGTCTACCATAAAAAAGTAAAGTTTTATATTGTAAATGTAAATATGAATATAAATATTAGTGGAATTTCTAAATAATTTATTGATTTTTCATATAAAATCGCCTAAAACTTTAAAATGAACAATCATGATGCGTATGTACATTTCTCAAAAACAAACCTTCTACAAAAATCATTAAACAAATTTGTATTTGAACAGGCAATTTAAAAATGTTGCTGAGGGAAAAAGGCTCCAGCCTTCCCACCTACCTAAAAC